AAAAAATTGGTAAGCTGAGGGGGGGTCATGCGATTTTTAAATGGTGCTTCCCAAATCCCACCAGCCCCCCCTCCCTCATAAAAAATGAACGGTCCCTGAAGTGGGAAGATAACTAGTTGTTAATTCTGCGTGTTATAAATTTCTTGCGCATCTCTTCACAATGATTTTGTGGAACTAGACAAGATGCAGGTGAACATTCAAGGAGTCGAACGCGATCTTCGACGAATTAAACAAATTGATTCAAGGCTGTATAATAACGAAGTTAATTATTACAAACGGTACAACTTCATAAAAGTGGAATGAAGAAGTTAAAAGTTGTGGAAGTATTACAATATAATGGTGTAAACATGAAAGTGATCAGCACTAAGAGGACTACAGTAAAGATGGGTTTATTACATTAAAACACGCCTGTAATTTGACTTCCATTTTTGGGTTCATGAATTATTAATGAGTTTGAAAACTTGGGCAAGTGGGGAAGTGCCCTGGGCAAGCAAAATTTGAGAGTTGCTTGCCCAATTGGCAAGGAGGAATTCAAATATTTTTTGAGCCCTGAGGCTAGTGTATTATGTCGGTCACTTACCTCATTGACCAAATTCTTGAGGAAATTCAAATTAGAGAAGTATTGTAAGAGACAAACATTTTGGCAGCTAGTGAGAATGATTTTTGGGCTAGGACATAGTTGGAGCTTAATGCCCCCAAGGTAAGCCCAAACATTTGCTTTCTTTAAAGAATGAACCTTGTCATCACCAACTCACTGTGGATGATACTGCAAGTTGTGATCTGCTGCTGAATTTGCTCAACCAACAATTTTATCTCTGAAAGAAATGCTTTTAGTAAAATCAGCTGTAGTGAACAGATCAGTCTGCTTGACAGACACTAAAAAAATTATTACTGACAACTGTAATGTTTCACTGGTTAAATCACTGTTAATTACACACCTCATACAAAAACTCCATAAGAAATTTTAACAGGACAAAATTTTCTTCTGGCAGTTCATTGTGTAAGATGTGCCACATTTCCTTCAGCTTCTCTGTTTCATCTGGAATTACTAGACAGAGAAATGACAAAACTGTTAGACAAACTATGAACACTGGGAACAACCAAAACCATGATTTAAATCATCAATTAAAATTAGTATAGGCAATTATTTATACGTCTTTTCAGACATTTACCTCACTAAGAAGTTGTTACAGTGTACAGGTAAATATGTAAGTAAATTATGGTAGTATGGTAATCAGTAACAAATAATATGGTACCAAAAACAATAAATCTTATGTATTGGATAAAATACTTACTTGTGCTTTTAACAATTGTATCATAAAGTTTAAATGTTAGGATTGGCTCTGGAAGTTCTCGTAGGAATCGTTTTATAATGACTGCTGCACAGTGAATGTCTTCTGGGTCACTATAGTGCACTTGTAGACCTGAAATTACACAATTAATAATAAATTATAGATGAACACCTAGCCAGTGTTTTGGACAACCGTCAGAAAATGGCAATAACAGTATTGTCTGTCACCTATTCACTTTGAATTTGTTAGCAAATAAGCTGGGAATGTTGCTTGCTGAATTGTACCTGGTTTGGTTCCTAGCTGGTGTATACTGTGAGCCTAAGTTAAGATCAATTTACTTGATGTGAACAAAGCATGCAACAAACTAACCCTTGTTGAACATCTGAGTGAGATCTTTAACAGTCTTCATGTTGCCAGATCTTCGGAAAATTCCCTCAACTTCTAATGCTGTTGATTATTAATATATTATAAATTATGTGAATACCAGGCTAATAATATTTTAATATGCACATGTTGGCTTATAGATCCCTTAGGCACCACATGTTGCAGGGCTCGACACTAACTTTTCAACTTACTAGCCTAGTGGCTAGTGACAACTTAGATGTTACAAGCCAAAAAAAAAAATTTGCTAGGCAAGCGTTGATGTTGGCTAGGTCCAATAACAGCAGGATTACTAACAAGACTTGAAAGCACAATGCAAGCGACTCTCTTTAATACATATTGTTGGTAATTACATTGTACTTAAACCAGTTCCAATACTAAAACAACAAGATATATTATATTTATAAAACAACATGAGAAATGAAAAAGAACGCATTAGCATTGTGGCGGTGGATGTTTTAGACTTACAGTACAACTTCTTCCTGAGCGGGTTTCTTTTCAGAACTCTCGTTTTTTGGCTTTTTCTTTTTTACTGCTGGTAAAAAAGCCCTCTTGTATCCATTATGGAATTTTAAGAAAAACTAGACAATGTGATTTTGCTTCTGAAACCTCTTGACCAGTTGACATATAGTTGGCACACCTTGTGTTGACAGCTAATAAATGTCGAAGGAAATAAATCTTTCTAATGTAATTATTTCTGCAGTGGTAAGTTTTGTCAGTATGGACACAATGACAAATCACCTATGTGTTGTTACTCTAAATGAAATGTTATCCCTTTACAGTTCCTTACGATTTTGCTCATGATTTTATCAGGATACTCATGTTTTGTTCTACTAATTTTGTAACAAAAAAAGAACACTGATGTGTGCTTTCAGAAAATGCTGTCTTGTTTGTCAAATACTGTATTTCTTTCTATATAATAACATTATTCAGTCTTTATACCCCTTCAAGTACCACACAGCGAAAAGTAAACATGATACGTCCACAATGAAATTCTGACCTTGTTTCTGAGTAAAGTGTTAGTGTTTGACTTCCTTGAGGAAGACACAAACTAGTTCGGCCAATTTCATTTTGTTTACTTATAAGCCAAAGTGGCTAGTGAAAGTCAAAACCTTACTAGCCAAAACTAAATTTCTACTAGTCTGTGGCTAGTTGGCTACCATTAGTGTCAAGCCCTGTGTTGAAAAAGCACATGATTTCTACTTATTGCTTTAAAACAAACTTGTCTGAATATTCCTTACAATTTCTTATTTTTTAGCCTTGGTATACAATAACATTAAGCGAACATTGATGCTGATGAGTAAAACATTGTTTTCAAATCCCAGTTCTTATAGATTGTTTGTGAACAGTCACAGACTTCATCATTTGCTTACCAGTTTCCCTCAGGAACTTCACTGATGTTGACATCACAGGAGGAATGCAATCATCATTGTTGTTTTCTTTCATCCTTAAATAAGAGAGAGAAAGGGTCAAAAACAAACCTTTTGGTCCAGTTGTACTAAGTAAAGCCATGAATAATCATCGCAGTTACGAACACAACTTGAATTACCAGTAAGCAGCTGCAGGGTTTTTTTAAAGCCTGCAAACAAATGCAGACCTTGGTTCTTCATATACTTTGCACAGGGTCCAAAGGAAAAGAATTACCTTTTATCTCTTCGAGATTTGAACTGTTGAGGGTGAGAGAAACGATCTGGGCTGGACAAGCTGGAATGAGGTAGAGAAGGAAGCAAAAGACTGTGATGGATGCCAGGGGGGGGGGNGGGGAAGACTCCCAGAAAAATTGGGTGGGGGTGTGCGTACCTCTTCCCAAAACCATTACCCTATTTATGACCAAATTCAGCGATTTTTCCTACCCTATTTATGACCCGACCAAATATTCAAAGTACCCTACATGTATTTACCACCGTTGCAGCTGGCACAGTTGCCCTAAAGATAACTTATGAAGGGCTTTTGTGCGGGTCGGTACAAAACGTGGACCCCTCAATCTTGACCCTCTACTGGACCCCCTTTTGGACCCCATCTGGACCCCTCCTGGACCCCCTTCTGGACTCCCATCTGGACCCCCATCTGGACCCCTTCTGGACCCCCTAATTTCTCTTCCGGAAAATATGGGCTCTATTTAATCAGTGGGCAAATTGTGAAGAAATAATGAAATCACGCAGCATCGCGAATAATATGATGGCTGCAGCTGCAGTTAACTGAGTTTATTTTTTAGAAACCTGGTTAAAATTTCCAAATAACTTAACTCGGTTAAATGTTGGTTGTGACGAAACAACGGGGTTATATTTTATGAGTGGCTGCATTGAAATAGATTATGAAGTGGGTGAACTCAATTGACGTCATGATGTGGATAAACCAACAAAACGACACATTTTGAGAACTACAGTCTTTATTATAATTTTCTTGATTCTTTTTCTTTGTTTTTGTGTCCTTTAGTTTCTTTACATTCACAGCTAAGGCAGTCTCTCTTCCTTCTCATGCGCACTATACATGAATTTCCAAGGCAGTTCTTTTGAACATGGTGTTGATTTTGTGTGGACATCAGAGTGTTCTCCACTGCCATTGAATGAATGGTCCTCGAATTTGACTGGAATCCTACCATGCATGACTTTTATACACAAATAAACATTGAGTGCTTTCACTAAGAACTTTGCGTATTCTTTCATTTATGACAAAAAGAAATACTTGCTTTGGAACATCTTTATCGATAGAGAGGCGTGAATTATGGCATCTAGAAACTGTGAAACACTCTCGGTCCACAGCTGTTATGTTTCGAAAATGCACTTCACCTAAAATTGTTCATGAATTCATTCATTCGTCTGCATTTCTTGCCATTTTAATTGGCTGACGCTCCCCTTTGACATACTCTTGAGTTCTTTGTGGAGGTTGATTAAAATGTCTCCTTCTAACGTAAATGAGCACTTCCTATTCAGGCCATGGTTCAAGTGTGAAGGTTCCTTGCAAACTTGGCTGATATGGTATAGCCAACTGGGTTATGAGGAAAAAACTAGAAATCCACTCCAGTTATACAACTGTTTCAAATTGTTGTTACCACTCACCATGTTCAGTACAAGATTATGCACTTGTTTGTGCCACAGTGAACAACATCTCAAATACAGACCGTGATGACTAACACATTTCACGAAAAAGCCAATGCATGGCACTGACAAGAGACCACAAACCTGGGTTACACCATGCAATTAATTTCCATGGTAACCGTTAACCCGATTTAAGTTCAATGAACTGCCAAAAATAGCGGCCACTCACGATTTTTCGGTAACTCGGTTAATCATAATTGATTAATTAGAAATAACCCGGTTACCTGGTAACTCTCATAGAGCGGCCGCAGCCATTATATTATTCTAGACACAATTCTGTATGAACTCATCAATTTCTTCACATCTTGCTCACTGATTAAATAGACTTCATTGTGTTATGTTCTAAGTTTAATTATTTACATCAGGAGCCTGTATTTTCTGGAAAAAAAATAGGGGTCCAGATGGGAGTCCAAATGACAGTCCAAATGGGGGTCCAAATGGCAGTCCAGAAGGGGGTCCAGAAGGGGGTCCAGATGGGATTCAGATGGGGTCCAAAAGGGGGTCCAGTAGGCGGTCCACATTTTGTACCGACCCCTTTTGTTGATGGTTTTATTGATAATGATGAAAAAAGTAGCTTCTTCTAAAAACAAACCCAATTCAAGACCACAGTGCAGAAACCATACCCTATTAGTGACCAAAATGGCCAAAATCAATACCCTATTTATGGCCAAAATGACTGAAAAGCCATGATACCCTTTGGGGCCGCACATACACATATATAGCCCATATAAGGGAGTACTCCCTCCCCCTCCCCCCCCTCCTGGATGGATGGAGGTTGTTGCTGTGTAGCCTTATGCTCCACTCACAGGAGTAAAGAGGATGACTGAGTTAACCTCTTAAAACATAGCTTTTCTCTACAATTTATAATGAAAACTCCGCCTATGCTTTACATGTTTTGATGTCAGTGTTAGCTAAGTTAACCACAGTTTTCAAAGAGGAGACAGTTTCTCCCTGCACTAGTACAAGTATTGTAGTGTGCAAAACAAGCTGATTTTTTTGCATAGCCCTTACACAGTACAATTAACTGACACTTGTAAATACTTTTACTTAAAATATTAAACTTTTGTTTCTGGAAATGGAATGTAAAATGATTTATCGGCTTAAGGTGGCTGAACACAGTTTTTGATACCTGTGTTTCATTCACCTTTTTCTCTAAAACCCTCGATCCCTCGGTCATCAAAAATGGCAGCAAGCAAGTTAACAACACAAACTTTCGTTTTTTGATGGTTAAGCTGACATATGCACTGTTTCCATGGCAACATGAGCAAATATAAACAGGCCTTTAAAATCAGTTTTGTTTATTTGTAGAAAATCTGGTCATTAGATTTTCTTTATAATTTGCATGCAACAAGCTTGTAACAATTCTCACAAGTTAACACCATTTTGCTAATAATTTAACAAAGAGATCTTTAATTATCCCTTGTTGAAGGTTCACTGGAATATCTAGAATTTCCTTTGTTAAAGTTCAAT